AGTAAAAATCATGTTCCATGAAGATATTTTGTAAATTTCCTACTGTAAATATATTAAAACTTAATTTTTGATTAGTAATATGCATTGCTAAGAACTTCATTTGGACAACTTTAAAGGCGATTTTCTCAATATTTCTCAGCCAAATATTGTCCTATCATAACAAACCATACATCAATGGAAAGCTTATTTATTCCGCTTTCAGATGATGCATAACTCTCAATTTATGACTTATGACTGGTTTTGTGGTCCAGGGTCACATTTGATCATTTATTTATGCATTAATAATTTACCTGTAATAGTTCTAATATTACCTAATATATATGCTTTATCAACATGCTTATGTATTTTTTGATCTCCTCTCTTAGGTTGCCAGACGTTGCTCTCCCCCAGCGCCTCTGAGGCCGACACCAGTCTGACACGGGCCTGTCCGAAGAGCAGCGCTAAGACCGACAGAGACGCTAGCGAGGAGGGTGAAGCCGTGGATGGCAAGCTGTCCATTTTCATCCATAAAAGAGAAGACCAGTCGTCCCATGAGGTGCTTCAGCCGTTACTCAGGTAAAACACATTCACCTCATTGAACACTTCAGTTCTGACACAAAGTTATGATTGACGTCAGTGTTTGCGTGACACCTTGCAGCAGCTCAGAGGGTCGTCCTTTCCGCCTCGGCACCGGAGCGAACATGGAGAAGGTGGTGAAGATGGATCGGGACATGACGAAGGTCAGCTCTGGTTTAGTGGCGATGGGTTTGGGGAGCAGAAAGCAATGCTGGAAGAGTGAAATGCCTGTGTTCTGCAGAGCGGCTGCTGTGAGGTGATCATGGAGGAGGCTTCGTCTGCTCTGCGGAAAGCCAATAAGTGGGCTCAGTCTGGGCTTATTGTTAGTGTGGGTCCTCCGATAGAGAGCACAGGCCAGGAGAATGCTGGGATATCCACCACAGGTGACAAGAAGAAAAGCGCCCAGTCTACAGTGTGCAGAGAGAGGAACGCTGAGCTGGCTCGGTAAGCATCTTCAGAAGGTCTTCCAGTTTTATGTGCTGCATACCTGCAAACTCATTGCCTTTCAGTGAAATGTGATTCATTTCAAGTGATTCGTGCAAATCAGAGGAGTTTTTATATCTGAAGGGGATTGACTGTCTTTGGAAAGGTTTTGATGGCATTTTCTTTTCATCTTACCTCCTTGTTATACCTAATAAAGCAGGGCTATTTTAGTATCATTGAGATGCTATTATAGTTTTTATTAATATTTAGAATATTTTTTAAAATATATTCCGTTTTCATTTTAATTTTAGTCATTTTATGTGATTTTGTCATTTTATTAGTTAAAAAAAAAATCTATTTAGCTTTAATTCAATTTTAGTTGATTTAGTACATCATGTTTTTTATTTTATTTTGGTCACACTTCGTTTTAAGGTCGCCATTAACAAACCATTAACTAAGACTTGCCTCAATAAACTACTAATTTGCTTATTAATATTTAGTAAAGTAGTTAACTTAAGGTATTGGTTAGGATTAGGGATGTAGAATTTGCTCATGCAGAATATGTGCTTTATATGGACTAATAAACAGCCAATATGTTAATAATAGGCATGCTAATAAGCAACTATTTAATAGTGAGAACTGGTCCCTATACTGAAGTGTTACCTTTATTTTAGTTAAAGTTTATTTTACTTCAAGTAACAATAATTGTTTTATGGTTTTAGTTTCAGTTAACTATAATAACCCTGTTACAAAGTAATGTTTATTTGTTTGTATTGTTTAAGGACAGTGCTGAAAGTGAAGAATTTAAGACATAAATATTAGTATTGTAACTTGCAGTGTAAAATAAAATAATTATTATAACGATCACTTATTTGAGTTAAAACAGTATAATATTAATACAACTAATAATAAGCCCTAAATACGTGTCGTCATACTGTATATATAAATAATTTGAAAACAAAAACAGTCCAAATAAAACACTTAAAAATATGTAATATTTTATCAGTTTATTTTGCATGTCAAGTAACCATTAACCAACTATGAACATGTAAATATGTCATTAAATTATTGAAATATTCACCTAATATTTTGAAGGGTGCTTTAAGTAAATATTTTATGTCTAAGGGGTTCGGCTAACAAAAACGTTTGGGAATTTCTGACATTATCATTCATTGAGGTCTGTCATTTTATAAAACGTTTTTGTCAAAACTTGTGTCATTTGAACTCTGAAGTTGTTAAAATCATAGTTTTTACAGTTTAGGATGTTACTGTAGGCATTGTGACATTTCAAACCAACGTCGCTACCTAAACAACAAGTAGTTCTAATATCACAATTTTCCAAAATGATTTCAACGGCTGATTCCAAGAAGTTTCTAGAAGGAGAAATGACTGAAACTCTTTGATTTGACACACAGCTCGGATCCGGTGCGTCCCTTCATCAGCGGTCACGTGGCGAACAGCATGGCTGCGGAGGTCATCGCTCTGCTGCACAGTCTCCTGACCGCACCTGAGTCCAACACGGCTCAAATATGGACCAGCACCGCAGAAAAGGTGTGCTGCGCTCTTTCGTTCCCTAACAAGGGCTCAATTACAGCTGGCTTTAAAATCAAATCAAAAACACAGTTTGTGTTTTGTGTTCACTCCATACTCCTCTCCGTCAGGTGTTGTCCAGGGCCTTGATGTACATCCCTCAGTTAGGCAAGCACGCTGAGAGTATTCTGGAGAGCGGCAACAGCAGCGGCAGGAAGTTAGCCAAGCTGCAGGCCATTGGTCGACAGGCCGTGGCGGCTCTCTGCGCGCTGGGAGGATTCAAGGAGACCATCAAGATCGGTTCTGAAGTCCAGGTGAGCCATTACTCGACATAGATATATATACGTAGATGCCTCATTAGTGACTGTTTCTATTGGCCGCTGGAATCTACAATGTATCGTCACGAGCCGCAGGGTTTAATTTGGTTTTATTTGTGTATGTTTTTTTGACTCTCAAAGCCATGATTCCCATTCACTTCCATTATAAGACTGACAGACTGCAACGGTTTGAGTTAAAACTCTTCGTTTGTGTTCTACTGAAGAAACAAAGTCACCTACATCTTGGATGCCCTGGGGGTAAGCAGATAAACATCAAATTTTCATTTTTGGGTGAACTATCCCTTTAAGTCTATGGAATACCATTGAAATTTTGAATGGCCATATCTCCGTAACGGCACGGCGGATCCGCACCATATTCGGGGGATCCCTTCAGCTCGAGGAACCCTCTCGAACGCCGAATCGAGTGTTCGTCTCGAGGCCCCCTTTCGAATGAGACCACCTCTAGTAAGTTTCGTCTGTGTGTGAAGACAGTAGCGCAAATCCGTGAATGAATGTTGCGAAGTGAAATAAACTTCAACGGAATAAAGTTGAATGGAACTGAATTGAAATCAAGTTGAATAAACTTCAACTTTACTGTTCAGTGCACTGATGTCAGACTCATTTTGGATAATAACGTTTATTGTTAAATTGTTAAATGCCCTGCCTCCATTACATATCTTTGTCACGTCATTATAAGTGTTTCATCACCATATTTGAGTGATCATTGCATAAAATGTGTTTATGTATACAGTATATATTCTGTTCATGTATATACTGTATTCTATATATAGTACCAGTCAAAAGTTTAGACACATGAATGGGAAAGTACTGGTACTGTACTATAATATACACAAAGAATATCGGCCAATATGTGACCCTGGACCACAAAACCAGTCATAAGTTAAGTTTTGATATATTTACAGTAGGAAATTTACAAAATATCTTCATGGAACATGATCTTTACTTCAGTAAAATCAATAATTTTGACCCATACAATGTATTTTTGGCTATTGCTACAAATATACCCCAGCGACTTAAGACAGGGTCACATATATCGATATCGGCCCTTTTTTACTCCATAATATCGGTATCGGTACCGGGCCCCAAAAAACCCATATCGGTCGGGCTCTACTCTATATAGACACGGTTTTTAGCAGATGAATTGTTCACATGACTAGTATCTTGCTGAAGTGTTTGTTCTCGGTGGCAGGTGGTGGGTAAAGGTGTGTTGGACAGTGTTGGTGTCGTCATATCCATTAATGAGCAGGAGGGAATCGCCACAGTCAAGTTTCCTTCCTGCGAGTACCGGCGCACCTGCAAAGCGTCTGATATCCTCACCGTGCCTATATCCCGCCTCTGCACCCCTCGCTCTGAGGTAATCACCTCTGAAACGTCTGCAGAACGGCAGAATTTCATGTTTTGCATTGAATGATGAAAATGTTTTCTGTCACAGTTTCATTGTTCGTTATTATCTACCTCATCCTCGACTCTGTGACTTGGAATTATTCATTTCTACTCATAATGCTCTTTGTTATTAACTTGTGAAAATTAAGTAAACTTTAGCATACTTTTAAAAAAAGTAGCTAATTGTTACAGAAATAACACACTTTAATATACTAAAGTGCGAACTGTATCAACACTCAAGTGCCCGTTAATTGCAATTAATTTTTTTTTTTTTTCATTTTAATAAATGCATTTAGCTGAACTTAAGAGTGTTTTTGACCCACTTAAGTAGGACTCGAGTGCATCTTTATATGCAGTTTTATAATTACTTCTGTAGTATGAAATATGGTAAAAGTGCTGCTGAATGTACTGACAAGCATTTATGACTAAAATATACTTTATGTCTATTGAAACTTGTATGTCATGTATAGGGATATTTTAGCGCCATCTGCTGTCAGAGAGTGAAAGTGCGCTTTCATTCAGTGCGTCTCTCACATGTTCCGCCATGTGCCTCTCGCTCGCGCTTGTTTACATCAGAGTGCGCACGCATCTTTCATGCAGCATACGGCGGTGTTGTGCATTTTGACCAGTTGATGGGAAAAGTATTCTTAAAATGCATTCAAAATACTGAATAATTTGTAATATATAATTATTCACGGTATTTAGAAGTGCCCACGATAACAATATCGTGCATATTCATTACCGTGATATATCGCATTACCGAATACCGGCACAAGTCTAGTCATGTATTTAAATCTATTTGAAATTACTAATTTGTAATGAAGTTGCTGTTTAGTGCATTTAAAATCTATTAACTTTAAATGTAATATTGAATGACACACTTACAGTTAAAACGATAATCAAGTACTTTACATGTGCTTTAGTTTATTAGTCAACACATCAGAATAAGTGTACTACTTTAAAACACGACAAATGATTATTAAAACAACGTCAAATTAAAAGTTTTTACTTTTTACTAAGTGCATTTTAACTTATTAACACGTGCTTTTGTTAAGAAAACACAAATGAAAGTGTATTCTCTTCACCTTTGAGTTATTTTAGTACTTTAATTTAAACTTATTTTATTTCAGTTCGTTGCCAAGGCAACATTTCTAATGATTTAATATTTATAATTTATTTCATTTCAATCTTTCAGTTTCAACTAATGAAAAATGTTAATGTTAACCGATTCTTTTTTTTTTTTTTTTCAATAAATGTTGTATTTTTAATAGTTTTAGTTAACAATAACAATTTAGACCACAACTTCTTATTAAACATGACATGACATTTTATGCAAACATGCTTTCAATCATGACATCCATACTTTATTGGAATCGAATGACTCTCTATTAATGATGTGGAATCATCTTGGTTAGTTAGTTAGTTAACAAACAATTTGTAAATATAAAGTAACAACCCACTGTTTACTTACTAGGGATGTAACGATTCACTCAACTCACGATTCGATTTGATTCACGATTTTGATTTCACGATTCGATTCGATTCACGATTATTATTTTTTTACAAAATGAGATTTAAGACAAATTATAAATTAAATATGTCCTTTTATTATTGCTTGGACAAAATACTGTATGTTTCTTTGTAAAATTGAAATATATAATACTATACTAATATAGCACTTGCATATTATTGCTCTTTTGTTGGTTTTGATTGCTTCTATTGTCCTCATTTGTTAGTCGCTTTGGATAAAAGCGTTTGCTAAATAACAAAATTTAAATTTAATGTAAATGTAAATAACAAAACTAAATTGAAATTTTAAAACAAGCCCCAAATCAAATAAATAAGTAACACAAATCAAGGAAATCTCTTCATATAAACAAACTAAGGCTTTGTCTGTGCTCTTTCCTTTTAAAATTAGAGGCAACCACTGCATTTTAATCATGATCCAAACAAAGATGCTGCAAACATGCAACATGAGCAGCTTTTAATCAAAATTAGATTGTATAATTTGTATAGACTTCAGAGAAAAAATACCATCGAAATACAGTAAGTTCCCCTCAGACATACATTCATATAAACTCCTACCACTAATTGAATCGCGATTTGTTTAGCATCTCAACCGATTTGAATCGTCACATACTCAAATCGATTTTCAACCGGCTCACGGTTAATCGTTACATCCCTATTACTTACCATTGAGCTGACTGACGTACTGCAAGAAAGAAATGCACTTTCAGATATGAGTAAACGTGCCTTCGTCTGTGGGCTTTTCAAGCAATGTCAGTCATCTTGCAGATTTGTGAAGCAGCTCAGATTTCTGCCGTCACGTCTCTCACGCAGCTCTGTGTGTTTGTGGTCAGGCTCTGCCGCTGCATAAGCTGTCCATCACAGAGAAGGTTGTTCAGGCCGTTCAGTCCATGCTGCTGCCGCAGGAGGGCAGTCTGTCCATCCACACGTCTCTGCCTGCGTCTGGAGACGGATCCAGTCCTGTGATGGCTGTGGTGCGTCTTCTGGCCGAGATCAGAACCAGGTAAGACCCTCAAGAATATATGGATTCTGGCCGAGATCAGAACCAGGTAAGACCCTCAAGAATATGGAAGTCAAACACGAGCAGTCGCTCTTCTTGCCTGTGCATTATTGTATAGTAGTGTTTGGGATCTGGGGTGTTTATTCTGCGTGTTTGACTCCGTCAGGGCGTGTTTGGTGATGGCGCAGCTGCTGGAGGACAGCTCCTTCTGTGAGGAGTTTATTCAGCAGTGTCCCGCAGCGGTGGAGGTGCTCAACCTGATCGCTCAGGAGTGCAGTCCTGGTGAGAGCTCACACCGATCCTTGCAACATCCTTTTTTTTTGTACATCCAAAAACAGTTTCCGTAATGGTAAAAAATTATATTTTTTATACAGTTTATATAATTTATTGTTAAATTATATAAACCGTAATAAAATAATGATATTATGATCTTCATTTTTATTTTTATTTTATACAATATTTTGCATTTTTTAAATTCTGTTTATTAATTCTTATTTGCATAATACATTAACTAACTGAGAACAAACCTTGTTGGTTCTCGAGCTTCTAGCAAACCCGTGTCTGATGTTTATATGTGACCCTGGAGCACAAAACCAGTCATAAGGGTCAATTTTTCGAAATTGAGATTTATGCATCATCTGAAAGCTGAATAAATAAGCTTTCCATTGATGTATGGTTTGTTAGGATAGGACAATATTTGTGAGAGATACAACTATTTGAAAATCTAGAATCTGAGGGTGCAAAAAAATCAAAATATTGAGAAAATCACCTTTAAAGTTGTCCAAATTAAGTTCTTAGCAATGCATATTCTTAATGATAATGAATTTTTTTTATATTTACGGTAGGAAATTTACAAAATATTTTCATGGAACATGATCTTTACTTGATGTCCTAATGATTTTTGCCATTAAAGAAAAATCGATAATTTTGACCCATACAATGTATTTTTGGCTATTGTTACAAATATACCCCAGCGACTTAAGACTGCTTTTGTGCTCCAGGGTCACGTATGTGAATAAAAAATAAGTTTATATGTGAATAAAAGCTTAAATTAAATCTGTTCATCATATGAAGTGATCATATCTTTACAGTAGCAGTGTTTTTGTTTTGTTAACTAAAAAAACTTACTTAAAAAAAAAACTTATGAAAATGAGAAAAGTCGCCTTGGCAATTAACTTAAAATAAGTTCTAAAAGTACTAAAATTGCTAAAACTAAAACTGAAATAAATAAAAGAGTAAAGCTAACTAGAAATATAAAAAATAAACTACATGAAGAAAAAAATCAATTACTAAAACTGAAAATATAAAAACGAAAGCTAATTCAAATTTTAATAAATACTATAATAGTATATAAATAATACTAAAATAGCGCTGACAACAGCATTTTCTTTATTTCGTTAGCAATTTATTTGTGTGTGTTGAAAATTAGAAATGTTGCCCTGGCAATTAAATGAAATGAAATGAGTACTGAAATTACTAAAATTACAACTGAGATTAAAAAAAAAGAATTAATTAAAGCTAAATAGAAATATTAAATTTTTTTTTTTTTAAACTAATGAAAATGACAAAAGCACTTAACAAAATTACTAAAACCTAAACAAAAATTTAAATAAAAACTGAATATAAAAATAAAAACGAAAATATGTATAGAGAAAAATGATGAGAATATTAAAAAAATCTCCATTTGTGTTCTGAAGATAAATGTGTGTGATAATTAGAAATGTTTTTTTTCATTTGAACAAACTCTTTAACTCGCCCTCATGTCTGTTTAAATGCATAATCTTGCATGACTCTTACATATTCTTGCATGAACACTAAAAATAGTTTTTACAGCTGTGCTTTCACCCAGTGAAGCATAAAGTAGGATTTTTTTGCACCCTCAGATTCCAGATTTTCAAATAGTTGCATCTCAACCTATCCTAACAAACCATACATCAATGGAAAGCTTATTTACTCAGCTTTCAGATGATGCATAAATCTAAATTTTGAAAAATTGACACTTAAAACTGGTTTTGTGGTCCAGGGTCACATATGGGCTTATATGGGAAGTTGATAATAATATGTTGCTTAGGAAACCCAGATCTTCTTCCTCTCTCCGCAGCCTAAGGAAATCACGTGGTGCCCGTCGCGCGTCTTCCCTCCGGTTCGCGCCTGCATGTTCTCCTCACACTTGACCTCCGTGACCTTTCTGGCCGATCCGAGCGCAGGCGGAGGTCTTCCCAGAGGAACGTTCATCTACGCCACTTCACCTGTGCCTGTCCAGGTAACCACAGCCTGTTTGTGGCTCATACACTTTTGAAGAAAATAAATGCTTAAAATAAAGACTTTTGTTCTGCAAGATCCAATGCTGTTTTGGATTTTTAGAATTTTTTTAATTATTATTTTTTTAATGTTTATAAAGTTTATTTAGTTCCAGTTATTTTAGTACTTCAACTTAAACTAAATGAACATGTTAGTTTTTTTAAATTTTATTTCAGTTAATGTTTATTTTCATTTTTTTATGGTTTTGGTTTTAGTATATGATAATAACCCTGCCAAGGATGCATTATATTGATCAAAAGTGGTGGTAAAGACATTTATAATGTTAGAAAAGGTTTCTTTTTCATATAAATGTTGTTCTTATGAACTTTCTATTCATGTAATCCTGAATAAAAATTTCACAGTTTCCTCCAAAATATGTAGAAGCACAACTGTTTTCAACATTACTAATATGAATATGAAATAATAATAAGCAGATTAGAATGATTTCTGAAGGATCATGTGACACTGAAGACTGGAGGTCGACCGATAGTGGATTTTAACCCTCTGGGGTCCGAGGGTGTTTTGGGGGCATTTGTGCTTTTTTCAGTTGCTTATAAACATTTAATGGCTAAAGTTTAGTAGCACCATAATCAGCACAAACTGGGCTACAATAATATGTGGGCAGCATGTATGTATGTGATTGTATTTTTGAGAAAACAATGTTTATGCGTGCTTAGTGAAAAACTAAAATTTTAAAGTCACTGAAATAAGGCCATAAAACACATACAGAACATTTGTTCACAGGACTTTTGAGAACTGGATTTGAAGTCTAGAGTTTTTGCTTCAGAATGATGTGAAAATCATCTCGTTTACTCACACTTAAATTTTCTAAGGCACATTTTGTGTAGAAAAGGACTGAAGACTGGAGTAATGATGCTGAAAATGCAGCTTTGCATCACAAAAATAAATCACATTTTACAATATATCCACATGGAAAAGAGTTATTTTAAATTCTAATAATATTTCACAATTTTACTATTTTTACTGTATTTCTGATCAAATAGAAGAGACTTTAGAAAATCTTACCAACTTCAAGCTTCTGAACGGTAGACTTCTCTACGTCTAGCTCACGTTTTCTCATTTTCTGGTTTCCAGGCTCCTTCCTTTTACTGGGAGATCGAGGTTGTTTCTTTCGGAGACTCAGAGGATGACAGCGGCCCTGTAGTTTCGTTTGGTTTCTCCCCGGAGGCCGAGAAGAGAGACGGCGCTTGGACCAGTCCTGTGGGCACCTGTCTATTCCACAAGTACTGACCCGCTCCATTTAACACGTTCACTGGACTCTAAACCTGTTCTTTCTGTTCCTCTCTCTGCTTCCCATCCTAACTCCTTTCTTTTTACGTGTCGTCCTTGTTGTTGTTTCTCTCCCGCTCAGTAATGGGAGGGCGGTACACTATAATGGCTCCAGTTTGCTGCAGTGGAAGAGTGTGAGACTAGACGTGACTCTACTTCCTGGTGAGACAGGACCGACTTTATTCATTCAGCCATTAACTGCAAGCACATTACGTTGTTCAAGCCAGCTTTTGGGGAAGCTACGTTTGAAACCGTTAAAGGGAGAGTTCTTTCCCGCGACAGTCTGCCTGGGCTTTTCTTTAACTCCTAAAACTAATGCTTTCCGTTTGCCTTTTTTTCTGTTGTCAATTTGTTCTGATGAACTTGAGTGATCATTATAAACTGAAATTTGTTTAAAGAGCTGAAATTGAGTGTTAATATTGTGTAGGAGCATGATGATTATTGATTGATAATTGCCTCCTCAGCTGTGTGCAAAATTTTTTTTTATTATTTCTCTGTATTTTTGTCTTGTATTTTTGTTGTCTTGTATTTTTGTTTTCCACAAATATTGAAACATTATTAAATCAAGATACATTTACTTGAGAGGCAAAATGACCAATTAAGTCAGTAACACTTTACAAAAAGGCTCCATTTGTTGACATTAGTTAACTTCATTAGTTAACATAAACTAACAATGAAAAATACTCCTAAAGCATTTATTAATCTTATTTAATGTTGATTCCAACATTTACGAATACATTATTAAAATCAGTAGTTGTATCTATTCATGTTAGTTAATGGACCCGAGTTATATTTTTATTAACTAACGTTAACGAAGATGAATAAATACTGTAACAGTGTATTGCTCATTGTTAGTTAATGCGTTAAATATAGTTAACAAATGAAACCTTATTGTAAATGGTTACCATCAAGTCTTATTTTCCGGAAAAATAAAATAAAACAAAACAAAAATAATAATAAATTATCAAAAACGAAGTGAGGTTGTATAAAAATTAAGTATGTTTATGCTTAAAATAAGAAAAATTTAATATTTACCAATGGGGTAAGAGGGGGAAAAAAGTGTTTTCCCTTTAAATTATTACGCTTCTATTTCTTGCCACGTTGACAGATTTTTTTTTTTCTTATTTTAAGCATAAACCTGCTTAATTTTGATACATTTCAGAAAACAAGTCTTAATATCATAAGCCATTTTGCTTCTCAAATAAACACATATTGATTTAAGATTTAAGAACAAGACAGAAAATATATTTTTGCAGTAAAAACCAATGTTCAAAACAATGTAGTGTTTTGTCACAACAAGCCGATACTTGAAAAAGTATATTGTTGCTAAAAAGCTGTGCTGTTTTTTTGTTTTTTCAAGAGAATATGTTAAAGTTGAAGTAAAAAAGTTGAAAGTTTTAGTAACTAACCCCTGATTGCTGGTAGGCAAACATTTGTGAGCACAGAAACCAGTCTTAAGTCGCTGGGGTATATTTGTAGCAATAGCCAAAAATACATTGTATGGGTCTAAATTATTGATTTTTTTTATGCCAAAAATCATTAGGATATTAAGTAAAGATCATGTTCCATGAAGATATTTTGTAATATTTTCCTACTGTAAATATATTCAAACTTAATTTTTGATTAGTAATATGCATTGCTAAGGACTTCATTTGGACAACTTTAAAGGAGATTTTCTCAATATTTAGATTTTTTTGCACCCTCAGATTCCAGATTTTCAAATAGTTGTATCTCGGACAAATATTGTCTGATCCTAACAAACCATACATCAATGGAAAGCTTATTTACTCAGCTTTCAGATGATGTATAAATCTCAATTTCGAAAAATTGACTCTTATGACTGGTTTTGTGCTCCAGGGTCACCATATATCATCGCTCACAAAGTTATATGAATATTTTCTTGTTCATGCAAGTGTATAGAGTTGTTGAGCTGCTGTGGTGATGGTTTGTGTGGTGTGTTTGGACTCAGGTGATGTTGCAGGCATCGGTTGGGAGCGTTTGGAAGGCACTCCTCCTCCCCCCGGCCAGCCTCCTAAAGGCAGAGTCTACTTCACCTACTGCGGTCAGCGTCTCGCTCCTTATCTGGAGGACGTGGCCGGAGGCATGTGGCCCGTGGTCCACATTCAGAAGAAGGTTTGCACACAAATATGATACATTACAAGCAAACCAGTGGTTTTCATAACTAAGTTCAAGATGATTCGAAATGGTTTTAATCCATTTGTAGGTTATACTGGATATTCCTAGAAGGAAAAAAGTGCCTGAAAATGTGCTAATTAAATAAAGAAATTAGTATTATACTATAGTAGTATTTATTAATATTTTGAATTTACTTTTATTTTTATACTGTCACTTTAATTTCATTTTAAGTTGTAGTGTTTTTTTTTTCTTCTTCTTTTTTTAATATTTCTATTTAGCTTTAATTTATATTTCCTTCTGTTTGGGTTTTAGTAATTTTTATACTTCAACATATTTTATTTCAGTTAGTTATCAGGCAAAAGTTTTTTTTTAAGTTAAAGCTTTTCAACTAATATTTATATTATAAACTTTATTTAAATTAACTTTATTTAAATTTTTTATAGTTAAAATGTATAGTTTTTTTATAGTTTAGTTAAAATGTATAATTTTTTAATAGTTTTAATATTTTAATATTGTTATTAACAGTAACAACACTGGCTTTTATACCCAATATAATTACTAATGATACTAATGAATAATACAATTTTAAATTTAAGCAGTTATTTAAAAATGTAAAAAATAAATATATTAATTTTAATGTAAGATCGAATAACACACTACAGTTAAAATGATAATTAAGTACTTTAGTATCAAATGCTTTAGTATGTTAGTCAACACATCAAAATGAGTGCACTTCTTTCAAACACGACAAAAGATTATTAAAATATAATGATTTAAAATGTACTTTAATGTCAAACTTAATTTGACATCAGTACAAAGATCACTTTTTAAAAGTGTACTTAAGTGTGTTCAGAAACAGTCATGAAAGTCTGTTGGCTGATATGCCCAATAAAACAAGAAGAGATTATGAATTAGATGGAAAATTAAATATGGAAACTGTATGCTTATGTATTTGCTAGGGGTTAATGTCTTAGGGGTCAAAACAGTAAAAATGTGAAATATTATTACAATTTTAAGTAGCTGTTTTCTATGTGAATATCTGTTAAAATGTGATTTATTCCTGTGATGCAAAGCTGAATTTTCAGCATCATTACTCCAGTCTTCAGTGTCACATGATCTTCAGAAATCATTCTAATATGCTGATTTGCTGCTCAAGAAACATTTCTGATTATGTCTTTTTAATGTACACTGATTGCTTTATTTGCCCTTTAGCCCTGCTTTAAAAACATCTCATTTGTTCCTTGTGACTTTGTTTTTTTCAGAATACGAAGATTCACGCAAACTTCGGCTGCCGGTTGTTTGCGTACGCAGAGGGACAGGCTCACCGAAACGCCGCCGATCTCTGCATGGACCTCTCAGAGGAGATCAGCGCCAACTTCGAGGCTCTGCCCTTCGCCATGGCCTCCGACAGCGACAACGACGCCGGCACGAGCGTGGCGTCTGACTCAGGGTCTCACGGTCCCCCGTGTCGTATCGCTGCGGTCGTCACAGCACAGCAGCGTCAGTGTCCACATATTAACTTATAGTTTCAGAGCAAAAAAAGATGTGTGCGTGTACAGTACCGGTCAAAGGTTTGGAACAATAAAGCAATGAGCCGCAAGAACCCGTGGTTTACAGTGAATTTATAACAGCTAAGGGGCGTTGTTAGGCACGACGTGAAGCGGAGGTTGCCGAGCAACACACAAACGTAAACAAAGGTGTATGTTTGTAGAGTAATTTACAACAGCTACGAACGTGGCTCAACCAATCAGAATCAAGGACCGGAACTCTCCGTTTTATAATTAAGATGTTTTAATGTTTTTGAAAGAAGTCTCTTCTGCTCACCAGGGCTGCATTTATTTGATCAAAAATACAGTAAAAACAGTAAAATTGTGAAATTTTATTACAATTTAAAATAGCTGTTTTCTAGGTGAATGTCTGTTAAACTGTAATTTATTTCTGTGATCAAAGCTGAATTTTCAGCAACATTACTCCAGTCTTCAGTGTCACATGATCTTCAGAAATCATTCTAATATGCTGATTTGCTGCTCAAGAAACATTTCTGATTATTATCAATGTTGAAAACAGTCGTGCTGATTAATGTTTTTGTGGAAACTGTGATGCATTTTTATTTTTCAGGATTATTTGATTAATAGAAAGTTCAAAAGAACAGCATTTAATTGAAATCTTTTATAACATTATAAATGTCTTTAATGTAAATTTTGATCAATGCGTCATTGCTAAATAAAAGTATTGATTTCGTATAAGCCCCAAACTTTTGAATGGTAGTATGTATCACGATTTCCACAAAAATATTCGCCTTGATCAAATAAATGCAGCCTTGGTGAGCAGAAGAGACTTCTTTCAAAAACATTCTAAAAAATCTTAATTATTCAAAATTTTTGGTTAGAATCTTTTGAATTTTTTCCCTCCTACTATAGAATAAAATGAATTATCTGACTGAATCAGTAAAGCAGATGTTATTCATGTGGGTTAAACCTTCTTATTTTGTTTTAGTGTTTCAGGGAGCTGCTGCGCTGTGAAAGTGCTCTGGCGCGTCTCTACTGCCGCATGGCATTGCTCAACATCTTTGCTCCCAAGAGCCCTCACACATTCACACGTCTCTTCCACATCCCCGCCGTGCGCGACATCACACTTGAGCACCTGCAGCTCTTGTCCAATCAGCTGCTGGCTCCGCCTCTGCCAGGTGATGTCATACATCACAGGTGGCCAACTTGTTTGGTCCAAATTTAGGAATAGTTCACCCAAAAATGAAAATTAGCTGAAAATGTGCTCAGCCTCAGGCTGTCCAAGATGTAGACGAGTTTGTTTCTTCATCAGCTTTGGAGAAATGTAGCATTGCATCACTTGCTCACCAGTGGGTGCTCTGCAGTGAATGGGTGCCGTCAGAACGAGAGTCCAAACCGCTGATAAAAGCATCACAATAATCTACAAGTAATCCACACCACTCCAGTCCATCAGTTAACATCTGGAGAAGAGAAAAGCTGAAACAACTCTCATTCTGACGGCACCCATTCACTGCAGAGGATCCATTGGTGAGCAAGTGATGCAATGCTACATTTCTCCAAATCTGTTGAAGAAACAAACTCCATCTTGGATGGCCTGAGGGTGAGTAAATGTTAAGCAAATTGTAATTTTTGGGTGAACTGTTCCTTTAATACATACTAGGAAAAAAAAATCAAAACTCACTTTTCTGTGTTTGTTGATTTCCCTTGGCGTCTGTAGATGGCAGAATCAGTTCAAACTCTATTCTGCTGGCTCAGTCTGTCCTCCACGAGCTGCAGGGCGAGAGCTGCTCCCCGACCGAACTCTTCTATCAGGGAAACGCTCAGAGCATCCGCGAGTGGCTGACGGTGGCCATCAGCAGAGCCCTGCATCAGGGAGAGGACAGCCTCCTCGAGCTCACTAAACAGATCTGCTGCTTCCTGCAGGTACCAACGCCTCACAACTGATCTGTGCACGATTATTTCATTTTTCTCTGCAGGGATACATTATTATTATTATCATTATTATTCTAAAAATTATGATTTTTATATATATTGATTGACAGAAGAGATCAGTGTTATTTTAGTATAATTTGATATATTATTATAGTTTTTGTTAGTATTTTCGTCTCTTGCAAAGAGAGCCAACTCAGCTGCCGCAAAGAGTGAGTTTTTACAGATTATAATTTTAGCTAGTTATAACTCAGAGACAAGACAACATTAGCTGTGTTTTCTCTATGGATGTCACATGCACGGAAATTATTGAATGACCCGTCATTTAAAATGTACTTTATTATAAGATAATGACACTAACTTTGCAACATCAACATTGCTATTGACCTAAATTGAATCAACTTTGAATTGATTTGAGCTGAATAATGTTGAGAAGACTCTATTGTCTTCTCTAGAGCTGATTTACAGCTGAATTTGATGAATTTGTGTCATAATTGGTGAATTTTACAACACTAACTGCAATTTTTCTGTTTATTAATGTAAAGCATCTTTGAAATTATTTGTTTTGTATAAAGTGCTGCGTGTGTGTGTGTGTGTGTGTGTGCGCGTGTGTGTGCGTGTGCGCGCGTGTGTGCATGTGTGTGTGTGCATGTGCGCGTGT